ATGAAATATGGGTCAAAGTGAAGGATTCATAAAGAAAATCGAAATAAACCAATTTTAATTATTTTGTAGAATATCTGAGGAAACATCTAAGACATAAATTTTTTTTTTCTTTTTCTTAACTTTCACGAAATTCGGTGTTGAATCCTTATATCCACGAAAATAGGTTACACCACTGTATATCACCCAAATCTTGTTCCTTACAATGAGACCGTAGGGACTTTCAATTTTAAATGCTTCCCAGAAAGCTGAAATTTATAGGGCATAGTAGACTATACAAATTGACTACTCACTCATATTCATGAGCGGAAATAACTTTATTTAGCCCAATTTCTTACCCTAATAAAGAGTGAATATTATTATTATTAATACCTTCATGTCATACGATAAAGTCAAATTCTACACGTGATAGTTTGGATATTTTTCACATAACAAGAACTGTCAACAATTATTATTATTTTGAACATGAACATTGATATTTAGCAAACAATCTGATATAGAATTAAGATAAATAAAACCGATTATTTACCTGTGGAGAGAGAAATAAAACAGTAAATTACAAGAAAAGGTCTATTTTTTTTTTGATCAGAAGAAACCGAATGAGTCTCCTAAGCAGAAGAGTAATTATCTCCCTTTACTAGTATACAGTCTAACCACAATGCTTCAGATCACAGTTAATTTATCTCTTGAATACGTTTATTTAGCTACCCACCGTAAGTCATTCTGGACCTTCGAAACCGGTGTAATGGTCCGAACGAATTTTCAGAATTTACCTCATAAGAAATAGAAAAAAAATCGAAACTAGAATTCTGATAAATTTGGTAATAACAAGAGATGAATATTTTTTTCTTCAACTGCACTAGTTTTAGATGGGAAGAGGTCACCACTCGCCGCTCACAATTATAATTACAAGTACATATCTCTTATTCATGACATGTGATGAAAAGTAGGATGTAAAACTCCAATCACACTTCATTTCTAATTCATGATAACTGTCAAAGTTTCTGTTCGTTTGAATTTAACTTTTTTTAAAAAGAATACATGGCTTACTGCTGTATACAAATATTCCCCAATTTTCATTTAATTAATTCATACTTTTTAATCTAAAACGAAACCATAGTAAACAGAAGTGAGAGTTTAGCAACTTAGATAACTAGGAGTTACAGTGGCTGTACCAGCCTTCCGAAGTACAAATATGGGTTCAAATAGGGAAAAGACTGACTTCATGGGGATTGAAGGGGGCTGAGCGACTGAAGATTCAACCAAGCTGTCACAGTAATCACAACGACTTGCACAATACGATAGGCCTAACATATTCATCGATCAAACCTCAAACCTGTCCAAGGCATCAAGAACCTACCTATAAAAATCATCAAAAAAATCATATCCAACCTGTCCAAGTTTTGTGAAATTACTGTTTCTGTCCGATAAATCCTTGTGAAAATACAAAAGTCAAGACAATTTTTTTCAAGAGTAACAATTCAGGTTCTTGCATATCTTGTCAACTTACTGGTCCTTGCTCACTGTATATTCATATTTACAGAAAGGAATAAGCATGGCCTGCTTGGCGAGTGCCAGAGGCCATTTCTATACAAATCATCAAAACCATCAAATCTAACCTGTCCAAGTTTTGTGAAAGTCAGCCAGAAACAGTAGTTTCGGTGTGATAAATCCTTGTGAAAATACAAAAGTCAAGACTATTTTTTTCAAGAGTAACAACTCAGGTTCTTGAAGATATTGTTAACTTCATATTTACAGAAAGGTTGACTAGAATCAATTCTTAAAAATCATCAGTATTGTTTTTGCCATTTTAACATACAACCAATAGCCATCATTTGTTTGAGAGAAAACCAATGAAGTCAAGATTCCAACACTCTAAAGAATGAAGTACAGTCCTCACAATGTTTGAAATTGTAAAATTTTATTTATAAAATGACTAATTAACAGGACAAGAGTAAACCTTTGGTTTCTGTTTTATTCAGTACATGATAGCTTTAAGAAATGTCTTGTTATACAATCAGTGTTAGGTAGTGAGTTGTTTTTTCTTTAAGTGAATTATTTTTCTACAATGAGTTATTCTTAACTGTCTCAAAACCTAAACAAGTCAGTTAAATATTGAACTTCAACCAAGAAGCAGTAATTTTTTTAAAATTATGACATTTATATTTCTAAATTGTATAATGATATTATTTCATTAGTATGAGTCATTTAGGCTGTTAATTTTGTTCAAAAATATTAACCTTTTTCACACATCTTTCATCCTTTGTTTATATATGTTTTGTATTTTGTAATTCTTGTATTAGAAATTGATATTTGTAATGAGTTGATTGTATGTGTTTGTTTAAGTGTGTTTGATTATATGTGTATTTCTGTATTGTGAATTCTAAATGTTTGTATTGTAATTTACAATATATAAGCCAAAACAATAAAATGTAAGAAGTATATTTATCTGTTTACTCTCACACTCTGATAATTTGAGATCTTACTGAACAATATTTTAAGGCTTCCATTTAGTACCATTTGTTAGATTTGTAACATTTACGTCAAGATTCCAAAACTTTAACTAAATGAGCTACAATCAGTCTAAAAAAGTGTGTAAGACCAACTTACCAAAAATGGGTGGAGGATTCGCCCTACATCTTCATCTGTTCCTCTTCATCTGTTCTTCATCTGTTCTTCATCTGTTCCTCTTCATCTGTTGGCGCGCGCCGCTTCTTCTGTTCTTCATCTGTGAGTAGGAGGATCTGTAGGGTCATACAGGCCATGACCCCAGAACACTCCTATTGTGGCAGTGCTATAGTGGGTAGGTAAATTAACAGAAGATTCACCCTTTCTAACCTGAAATGGATTGAAACAAAAATAGTAACGAACCTTCACATCACAGATCTGTTGCCATAACAAGGAAACAATTAGCTGTCGCCGACACGTTTCATCAAAATAATGTCAAAACTACTTTAGACTTTACAGAGTTCGCATGCCTTTTTAAATTATTTTCCAAACACCGAAAATTGCTAGTACTTATCATTCTAGAATGTTCACAAATAACATTGATTTACAATATAGATATAGTCCACTTTATCCATTGTGTAAAATACAAGTTGAAGATACGCTTCATTTTAAGCGTGTTTGTAAAACATGAGCTAATTTCGGATATAAATATGTGCCATATTTCATTACATTACATTAGATTCTGTACATCGACTGATAAACAACTTTTAATTTCCATTTCAAAATATATAAATTACTAATTGTTATATAAACCCTGTCGAGTTAAATATTACTTCTACAAAATTTGTAGATAAACTCTTACTTTATCTTATCATATTGTTTTCTATCACTTTATTTATATCAGATGACAGCTTACTTTCGTAATTTTTTGCTGATTACATACATGTACTGGGTTGATGTCATAACTAATGTAACTACGGTCCATCTGTTTATATAATAGTATAACTTTTTCGAGAACTAAATATTGATAACATTTAGAAAAATCTTAAAGAAAATTATTTGAAACTTTATGAAATTATGCAAATTTATATTATATTTATGGAAGCAATTTGCTCAAAGACAGACGACGAAGAGAATCTTTCAACGATAACTTGTAAAAAAATTATGAACTGTTATTGCAAGCCGCCATTTATAGTGTAACCTGGACTTTTCCGATACGCAGCGGAACAAAAAGTGTAGGTGTATCAGAAAAGTGTAGGTGTATCACAAAAAGTGGAGGTGTATCGGATAATAACCTACACTAATGATTAAAGGATCGAGAAAAAAAATGTATTTAAGAATGAAATCCCCCCCTTTCTTAATTCAGAGTTCCCTAAAAGTGTACTCTTCAAGGGATACCGAGTTGTCATAAACTGTTCTAGATAGAAAACGTGGAATAAGGGGATGTTTTACGTTTTTCGTTTCTGCATCTGGTAGGGCTAATGTGAACATACAACATGTAGTGTGTAATGTAATTTTGTCAGGGAAGTAGTACATGTTTTCCATGTTCAATAGTCGACCGATCTTTCGGATGCACAACCTGTAGCACACTGAGTCACCAAGCGTCCCTCGTCATATTTTAACCATTTGACATTATGCATGATATGCCAGAACAGGCGTTAACAGAATTTCTAAAATATGATAATTTGAAACTTACACGAGGAGCTTCCATGCCACACCATAAGCACTTTATTCATATATATTGAAGCTCTATCTGTATACACCTAAAATTAGAAAAATTAAACAGAACCTCAAAAATCATGTCGTTTCACGCTATGCGACCTAAAATTACAATAACAAAATACTTTCACTGTTGAAATAGTGCTCAATATTTCAATTGTATAGCGATCTAGAAATGCACTCCTAAAATTAGATATTTAATATGTTATTTATTTTTTCACAGAATACATACTATACATTTTCACCCTAATCAATCTTGACAGTCCGCAATTAGATATTTTGTTGCAATCAACATCATGGCGGGCTTGTGCAGGTTTTTTTTATCAAGTAATAGTCTGACACCTGATGATTTCTACCTAGTTTTAATAGAGCTAATTCAGAAATAAAATTAGAATTAATTCTCATTGCCATAGTCAAGGTGTTTTCATCTGAAACCAATCAAGAACTGATCCCCATACTTGGCAGTTCATTGTCTATGTTTCAAGTTGCGCAACACCCCTGCGTGGAAATTCCTCCACATAAAAAACGTAATTTTCTTGCTTATGCTAACTGATCCGACTCATCTTTATTGAATAAAGGTGATTTGATTTGCTTATCTAACCCCTGATCCTTCAAGTCCTTAATCCCATCAATGATTTAAATTAATTCTCAACCAGATTCATTTGAAAATTGTGAAAGAGATGATTCTGTACAGCTATACCATGTGAGACACGACGTGTAATTGGCTTGCGAAAGTGGGATTTATTTTTACTAAATCAAAGGTTATATATAAAGTAAACTCGCACTTTTCTAAATCAACTAGGTAGAAGTCAACAAATATCTGAATATTATAAAATGAGAAATACTTACCGCCCTTTGTTTTAAGAGAGGCTGGGTGGACATGATATGGCAGCTTAGCCGAGTACAACCTAGGTGGCCCTAGCAAGGTAGCCCACAGGCTGCTAAAACTAAACTACACGCGAGCCCAACCCGTAAACGCGAAAATTTTGCTCCTTGTGAGCTACCTCCAAAAACATAGGTTGTACACCATATCTAACCATGTTGTCCGTAGCTAAAGACGAGCTACTATACTTGAAACCCTGAAATATAAGAAAACACCACGATAATACAACCATGAAATAAACTTTTTGTTTTACATGTGTAATAACTTGGCTCATTAAAACTGATGTATGAGCATCAATGTCACTGGGACTGACCAGGATATAATTCATTATTTTTCTGATCAAACTCACTTCAAACTATCTGTATCAATCAAGTAAGCAAACTTGTACCAATGGAAGATTCAGTTGTTGTCACTTGCAGGTGTCTAGTAAAAAATCTCACATGTAGCTAGTATCATATGACTTTATCACGATATCTGTTGCATCAAAGGTTATCAGACTACATTGAACATTCTTGATACATCATTTTAAAGAAAGGATTATACGCGCACGGTTTATTTGTATAGTGCTCAATTTTATACCCTTATAATGTACATCTATGATATACTAACCTCCACGGGAATGGTATCCCAACTATTGTGTATTAACTCAATAGTAAAAGCCACTATTGAGCACCCTGGCCTGAAACGAAAAGACAAAATCATCAAAATCTAAATGTTATCGATGTGTTCATTTGACAGATAGTGGCGAAGATGTGTAAAAGATATTAATTTTATGTTGAATAGTTACGCATCCTTTTTGAAAAAAACTGTTCTTCTGTAATTGCATTTTAACTTAACCATTACACTGGTTAAAATGGTTTCCTCCATGGTCGTCAGGCACATAAAGAAACTTGGACTATTTATATAGACATTTAGGGAATTATGATGAAGAGATGTTATGAAGTGGATTATTTGTGAATTACATTATTTTCTAACTAAAGGGTACAGCATTCTGAAAATACCACAATATCATATTGAGCTGAAATTGTCATCGGCATATGTCTATCAGCAGTCAAAGGTCTATCGGTGTATGGGTTGCCTTATTCTCTCATCCGAAGGGGAGAATGAACTACGATTAATTAGTTTAGGAGGCCGGAGGGGAGGGACAAACAAAATAAGGCAAGGCACTTTCCTTTATTAATAAAGCGTATAAAAGTAATTTGAGAAAGGGAGCCAAATAATGCCTTATTTTGAGTCCTAGTTAAAAGCCAAGCTTTGCTTCATGTTTATCTCAAAAACAATTTGCAATGGACTTTTGCAATGAATCTTTCATTAATATATTTAATACAATAAATATTACTTTATCAAATCGAGAGGAAGGGGGCATTTCTTGAAATCTAACTAAAATTTCAGCAAATTTCAAAAAGTCGACTTACCGGTTGCTATAAACAAAGCAGACTGACTGAGCGAGTAGTCACTAGTAACCAGTTACTAATTGTCTTGATTACTATTCAACTAACCTACTACATAGTCCGAAACGTGCTGTTTATTTCTTGCCTCTGGTAAAGACAATAGTCGCATAATTTTAAAAATGGTTAAAATCAAATTAGAAAAACAATCGTTCTAATAACCATAGAACCTAAAATACCAAACTACAATAGTATCCATAAAGTTTCTAGAGAAAATCCATTAAAACAATCTCTAAAATAATCTGCCCTTCAAAAAGAATTATGGGCGTTATTCCTGGAAAAGACCACAGAACCAAAAAATGACCAAAATTTTACAAAGAACTCAATTTTGCTAAATTTTTGCTATTTTCCACCTATCAAAATACAAAGCACCAAATTACAATCACAAGCCATAGAATCAAATACGACTATTACCCATTTTCGGCAATTAACCCTATTTCGATCAAGAATTATATTCCAAGTACTTAAAAACACACGAAATCAAGGTAAAATCTGTGAGTTTTCAAACTAGTTATTTGCAGTCTGCACAGTGGAGCACAAAATGTGTTCAAGACAACTTTTACAAATACAAACTTTTGGCTCAAGTTTTGATCTATTCCTACTAATTAGACCCCAAGGAGTTCAAAAAATACAATAAATCAAATCAAAATCTGTAAGTTTTCAAACTAGCTATATGCAGTCTGCATATTGGTGCACAAGAAGTGCTCAAAGACAAATACATTTTTTGTGTGAAAACTTACAAAGCTACAATGCTGGAATTTTGCACCAATATTCACATGGACTATCTGCACATTTCAGAAAAAACAGAACTCAAATATCTGCCATAGAACAGAAAATAATTTTTTACAGTTTTAATGCATATTGGTCATAGAGGCAAATATGGCCTATAGACAACTTTTTCAAATACAACTTTTGGCTCAAGTTTTGATCTATTCCTACTAATTAGAGCCCAAGGAGTTAAAAAAACATAAGAAATCAAATCAAAATCTGTAAGTTTTCAAACTAGCTATATGCAGTCTGCATATCGGTGCTCAAGAAGTGCTCAAAGACAAATAAATTTTTTGCGTGAACAGAAAATAATTTTTTACAGTTGTAATGCATATTGGCCATAGAGGCAAATATTTTCAAATACAAACTTTTGGCTCAAGTTTTGATCTATTCCTACTAATTAGAGCCCAAGGAGTTCAAAAAACACAAGAAATCAAATCAAAATCTGTAAGTTTTCAAACTAGCTATATGCAGTCTGCATATTGGTGCACAAGAAGTGCTCAAAGACAAATAAATTTTTTGCGTGAAAACTTACAAAGCTACAATGCTGAAATTTTGCACCAATATTCACATGGACTATCTGCACATTTCAGAAAAAACACAACTCAAATATCTGCCATAGAACAGAAAATAATTTTTTACAGTTTTAATGCATATTGGCCATAGAGGCAAATATGGCCTATAGACAACTTTTTCAAATACAAACTTTTGGCTCAAGTTTTGATCTATTCCTACTAATTAGACCCCAAGGAGTTCAAAAAACACAAGAAATCAAATCAAAATCTGTAAGTTTTCAAACTAGCTATATGCAGTCTGCATATTGGTGCACAAGAAGTGCTCAAAGACAAATAAATTTTTTGCGTGAAAACTTACAAAGTTACAATGCTGAAATTTTGCACCAATATTCACATGGACTATCTGTACATTTCAGAAAAAACAGAACTCAAATATCTGCCATAGAACAGAAAATAATTTTTTACAGTTTTAATGCATATTGGCATTAGAGGCAAATATGGCCTACAGACAAATTTTTCAAATACAAACTTTTGGCTCAAGTTTTGATCTATTCCTACTAATTAGAGCCCAAGGAGTTCAAAAAACACAAGAAATGTAAGTTTTCAAACTAGCTATATGCAGTCTGCATATTGGTGCACAAGAAGTGCTCGAAGACAAATAAATTTTTTGCGTGAAAACTTACAAAGCTACAATGCTGAAATTTTGCACCAATATTCACATGGACTATCTGCACATTTCAGAAAAAACAGAACTCAAATATCTGCCATAGAACAGAAAATAATTTTTTACAGTTTTAATGCATATTGGCCATAGAGGCAAATATGGCCTACAGACAACTTTTTCAAATACAAACTTTTGGCTCAAGTTTTGATCTATTCCTACTAATTAGAGCCCAAGGAGTTCAAAAAACACAAGAAATCAAATCAAAATCTGTAAGTTTTCAAACTAGCTATATGCAGTCTGCATATTGGTGCACAAGAAGTGCTCAAAGACAAATAAATTTTTTGCGTGAAAACTTACAAAGCTACAATGCTGAAATTTTGAACCAATATTCACATGGACTGTCTGCACATTTCAGAAAAAACAGAACTCAAATATCTGCCATAGAACAGAAAATAATTTTTTACAGTTTTAATGCATATTGGCCATAGAGGCAAATATGGCCTATAGACAACTTTTTCAAATACAAACTTTTGGCTCAGGTTTTGATCTATTCCTACTAACTAGACCCCAAGGAGTTAAAAAAAACACAAGAAATCAAATCAAAACCTGTAAGTTTTCAAACTAGCTATATGCAGTCTGCATATTGGTGCAAAAGAAGTGCTCAGAGACAAATAAATTTTTTGCGTGAAAACTTACAAAGCTACAATGCTGCAATTTTGCACCAATATTCACATGGACTATCTGCACATTTCAGAAAAAACAGAACTCAAATACTTGCCATAGAACAGAAAATAATTTTTTACAGTTGTAATGCATATTGGCCATAGAGGCAAATATTTTCAAATACAAACTTTTGGCTCAAGTTTTGATCTATTCCTACTAATTAAACCCCAAGGAGTTCAAAAAACACAATAAATCAAATCAAAATCTGTAAGTTTTAAAACTAGCTATATGCAGTCTGCATATTGGTGCACAAGAAGTGCTCAAAGACAAATACATTATTTGCGTGAAAACTTACAAAGCTACAATGCTGGGATTTTGCACCAATATTCACATGGACTATCTGCACATTTCAGAAAAAACAGAACTCAAATATCTGCCATAGAACAGAAAATAATTTTTTACAGTTTTAATGCATATTGGCCATAGAGACAAATATGGCCTATAGACAACTTTTTCAAATA